TTTGTCTCATTTTTCCTGCATTTCAGCGGCAAAAATCCTTGTAATTAGAGGCAAATTATTATCGATCTTCTACTTGTTGATGAATTAGTGATATTGACACCACCTTTATGTACCCCTTTGGCTTCTTTAAAAATAGCCTCCATTGTGTCTTCCTATAGTAGAGCTAACCCAAGGGCCTAGGTTAAGGTTGTTGGTTTGAACATGGTTACCTGATTCTTGATTGCATCCTTCAACCCACTAATAAAATATTGTACAAACAATTCTCTAGATAAACAACTAGTTCTGGTCATTAATGTTTCAAATTGTTCTTGATATGCCTTTACTGCAGAAGTGTGTTTCAGTTTTGTTAGTTGTCCTATGGGCTTTCATATATATTAGGATCGAACTGAGAGACCACATTGACTGAAAATTTTGCCCAGCTAACATTCGGATTAGCCACTTCGTATCCTTGAAAACAATCAAGAGCCTTACCCTTCAAATGAATTGACACTATACTCATTCATTCTTCTCCTTCAACTCCATTAAGGCTAAAGAATCAATTGCATTTGTAGACCTAGCCACTTGGATTCTCACCATCAAATGTTGGAAAATTTAATTTAGAAAATCGAGATTGGACAAAATTACTGATATTCTGTGAATTGTAGCACTTCGACCACCTCGTTACTAACAGTTGAATCGTCATTTTGAGTGATGAATTGATCAAATTTTAGACTAATAATCACCACCATATTTGTTAGATCAAACAAAGTAATAACTTGTTTCTCCTTTGTTTCCTTCAATAACCTCATTGTTTCTTCTAAACATTTATGTTCCTGTATTCTAGTCCTATCTGCCATAAGAAAGTGCTAGGGTCGAGCTTTGATACCAATTCTAATGACCACAAAAGAAGACACAAAAGAAATTCCCCTTTTTGTTTGTAATTGTATTGATAATAATTTTTTTTATGAACCCTAATACAATCACTAAGGTAATTATACGAAAAAGAAACAACAAGCAAATCCTATAAAAAGAAAACAACAATCCTAAAAGAGAAATAGAATAAAATCCTATCAAATAAGAAAATAATAACAGAAATATTATCCTATCAAATAAGGGAAATAATTATTATCACAACATACCATTACCCTCAATGCTCTTAGTATTTCTCATCTATTTTTTTTTTTTGTAGATAATTGTCTGTTATTTATTGAAGTCAAAGCTTTCCAAATAAAACTTGTTAAGGAAGTTCTTGATACATTTTGTCTGGCCTCGGGATTGAAAGTTAATATTCATAAGTTCAGAATTATGACCTCTAAAATTATTTCTAATATGAAGGTGGACAGATTTGTGACTATAGCTCAGTTCTAGCATACTCGCCAAATTGGAAAATACTTGGGCTTCCGCATGCTGTCTAGAAGGGTCCGAAATAGTGATTAAGATTGGTAGGTTAGAGCTGGTAGAGTGACTTTGGCAAAGTCATTCTTGACATCTATACCTATTTACACAATGCATAACCTATGGATACCTGAGGGTGTTTGTGAAAAGGTTGATGCTACTATCCGCAAATTCATTTGGGGGAATGACCCTTGTCAATGGTGATTAAAATACTATTTTTCTACCCAAATCTAATGGAGGGTTGGGCATACGTCCAGCTAGAGACATCAACATTTCTCTCTTGTGGAAACATGCTTGGGATATGTTGCATGAGGAGATAAAAGAAGTGGGTACAAATTTTGGAAACTAAAAACTTGAGGGAGGATACTATCCTTCATGTTTCAGTTATTAATGGAGCTTCCTATACTTGGAGTTCAATTGCTAAAGTTGTTGATTATGGTTTCCATGTTCGAATTGGTGCGGTAGTTATATCGATTTGGCATGATAAATGGTTACAGGATGACTATCTTTGCCACTTAGCATTTTTTGTCAACATTCAAGACATCACCCTTCTCCTATACGTGACATTTTTCATGATGGTAAATGTTTATGATTGGCTGGTCAACAATCTTAAAGGACCAAATGGTGTCCTGTTTGCAACAACCATTTGGATCCTATGCAAAGCTAGAAATGCATCTATATTTCGAGATCAACTTTGGGACCTTTGGCAAACTATTAGTCACATCCACATTCTTTTGGCAGATATCGAAAAGGCGTATAACTGCCTGGGCATCAATGACAAAGTCGTCAAGTTAGATGGAAAGCACATACATCTCCAACGATCAAAATCAACATTGATGGCAGCTCCTTTGGTAACCTAGGGAGAACAGATTTTGGAGGTTTCTTTCGAGATCATATGGAGAACTGAATTACTGGTTTCTTTGGCTTATGTGGAACTTCAACCAGCGTCAAGGCTGAATTGTTTGCTCTATTTCATATATACTCTCAACAAAGCTTGGAATGAAGTTTATCAGACTATTTTGTGTGATACTGATTCTACCATGGCTTTGGAGTTGACTTATAACTACAGGGACCAATTTCATCCTTACTTTCCCTTGGTCATTGCAATTAGAAAACTATTACAGTTATCTTGGAGCGTCACCTTGCAGCACACTCTTCATGAAGCTAATTCGTGTGTCGACTGGCTTACAAAGTATAGTGCTAGTTTCGAGCACTGAAACTATTGCCCACCTCAACTTTCTTCTTGTTATCTGATGCTATAGGGATGTTGCACATGAGGCTCTAATTTCTATTTCTAGCTTTTTTGTAATTTTCACTCAAAAAATTACATACTCTAGTAATTCCATAAATAAAAAATATTATTTCCAAACTAATAAGAATTTGCTTGTTTTTATTTTGATTTTTAATATTTAAAATTATATTTAAAAATAATTTTTAAGAAAAAATGAAAATAGAATTTATATTAACAAATAAATTTTATTTTTTATTTTAAAAATATTTTTAAAAATAAAAAAAAAACAAGTTGCAAGTGTTTTTAAACTTTTTGACTGTTATTAAATCTCAATTAACACGCTAAGTCATAAAATATAGAACATAGTCTAGCATAAGTTTTAAAATGTCATAAGCACTAATGTATCATAACAATACTTCTTAAATTTTATTAATACTCTTTTAAGTGGATATTATTATTTTGGTGCTGGAAGTAATACAAAAACTATGACAAAGTGATAATCAAGATAGTTTGATTCCACAACATAAATTTATTATTATTATGGCGTGTATATCTCTTTGTTTAGTTAGACTAAAGATAGCTTATTAACTAACGATGATTTTGAATTATATTTAAATAAATAATTTAATTGCAATTTTATAGTTCTCATATTTTATTTTATATGTAACTTTATATTTTTATAATTTTTCAATTACTTAAATTAGCTCCTTTACTTAAAAATTTATACAATAGTTAATAAAAATATATGTAAGCTGTGACATAACAATAATTTATAAAAATTTGTAAAATTCTATATTTTTAGTTTTTATTATAATTATATCATATTATTTTATGACTTAAATATGTTTTGTCTTTATATTTTGACAATTTTCTTAATTCTTTTAAATGAATTTTTTTTAGTCCTAATACTGAAATATTACATATATCAGTTTTGTGTTTGATTACATCAACGTTAAAGACAAAAAACAAAAATTAAAAAAAAATCATTTAAAGGAACTAAAATTAAAATTTCATTAAAAAAAACATGTTTAAGCCTTATTTTATTATAAAAGAGAAGGTAAGTAATTCAATTAACAGGTATAGCCGCATCCCAATTCAAGTACATATACCTACTTGTTTGCTTGCCCTTTCAGAGACGCAAGGGACCCAAAATGGGTATTAAAAACTATGCTTTAATTTGTATTGACTTCAGATTGATAAGTGATCAAAAGAGATTTGTTACACTTTTTATAGAAGGATTTATTTTAAAATGAATTTTTTTTTATCTTTTAAAACCTTACAAAACTTAAAAATTATATATATTAATTTTTATTAAAAATCACAAAATTTGATGTAATTTAATAAATTAATATTATTTTATAAGATTTTATTAACTTGAGTCTTTAAATCTAAGTTTAAGCATTTATAGATAAAAAAATATTAAAAAGTGTATATTTAATATATTAAAGTTATAAAATTGTAATAAATATTTTTTAATAAAAAATTACTATTATAAATTATGTATCCTCAGTTCTAAGACTTGAGATTAATGTTTACTTATAATATTATAATTTTTAATAAAAATTTATTATATATAAATTTTTATCATGTATAAAAAGTTAATTTTCAAAAAGTATTATTACTTCTAATAAATAAATATATTTATTAACCTTTTTAAAACCGTATTAGTTTAAATTTAAGCTCTACGACCAAGAAACAAAAGGTAACGTATTTCTATAATGATTAAAATTGCCATATAAATTAATTTTTCATAACTTAAAAACTATAAGATTGCCCATAAGTTATATGATAATAAGCTGTGCCTTAATCCAAGCTATATATTCATTGAAAGAAGAAAAAACAATCTGCTGAAGTTGTTAAGACTCAAGGATTAACACTTTACAGGTCATTTTAATTATTGTTATTAATTCAGTTTCCGTACAGTATTGTACGAATCTCAAGAGTTTACTGCATCCAAAGTATAGTCCACAGAAAAATGTAGTAGTATTTGATTATGGCCTTAAACAAGAACATCAAGGAACCATTATCCTTGAAGTAGGGTCTGTGCAGTTATATTTTGACAAATTTTGGGAATGTTTATAGGTCTCTAATTGAAGAAATGAGAATAAAAATGTTTGATATATTTTAAAATAATTGAAAACATTTGATGTTCATGGATCTATTCCCCTTGAGTATGAGCAGGAAGAGGATGGTGCAGTCTATCATTCGCTTGTGTCACTTGGCGACGAGAATAAAACAGTAAAGGAAGACAAAGTCAACCAATAAAAAAATAATAAAAATCCCGTAAATGGCCAAATAGATCCCTTTCAAATCCTAATCAAACTCCGTCAGCACTGTGCTGTGGCTCTCGTTAGGATGGCCCCTTAACATGCTCAAGAGCAACCTTGACTACTGGATGTTACTATTTTTTATTTTCTTTCCAATCGTAGCAACAATTTGGTTATTGGGGGCCTTTCACTTTGACCTTTCTCTTCTTTTTCTTTTCACCAAAAAGGCAAAATCTTCTTTTAATTATTCTCACGACTTTGAATGGTATACTTAATTAGAATGTGCTTTCTTCAACCTTGCTCCATATAGTACGGGATTGGGCTCTATATAAATGGAATTAAACCCAAGTCCATCTCATTCTATTCCAAATATCACTAAAACTGTCATCAAGTGAGGCTTTTGGAGTTGGAAACTGTGCAGCTATGGCAACACACGGGCTTTTAGTAGCATCACTTGTTCTTTGCAGCATAGCCGGAACTTGTTATGGGAGCGTTCTCTTCTCTTCCTTGAAAAGAACTCTTGATGTCACCGCTTCCCCAAAGCAGGGACAAGGTAAACCTAAACCATGCCTACCTTACACCTCTCTCCATGTGCCACTCATAACTCCTCCGTCTGAGTCAAGATTGTGCAACCTATGATTAGCGATGTCGTAGAAAATCTGCACCAGTCACATATAGTCGGCGATTCAGTAAAATTAAAATTTAGGTGCAATTGTCAAAATATTTTTCGTGATATTTTTAAATTAAGATTAAAGTTTTATTTCTTTGATAAGCAACAACGTTAAATGCTTTTCTTTTATGTAAAGAACTTCAATTTTAATTAAAAAGTAAGACTAAAATTTATTCAGTCTATCAAATTACATAAAATTTTGATTTTAATTTTTATAAAATTAATTTTGTATTAACTGATGTTTAATCAAACTTTGACGTGTAATATACTACTGAATGACGCAGTTCTGAGAGCTGGCGTAGATAAAATCACTGTGACATGGGCTCTAAACAAGACCGTACCAGCTGGTACTGACTCCACCTACAAAACCATCGAGGTGAAGCTATGCTACGCGCCCGTGAGCCAACACGACCGCGCTTGGAGAAAGACCGAGGACAACCTCTCTAGAGACAAGACTTGCCAGTACAAGATCGTTGCCAGACCCTACGATGCTCTCAACAAAACGGTTCAAGGCTTCGGGTGGGTGATTGAGAGAGACGTGCCCACTGCCACGTTCTTCGTACGCGCATACGCGCACGATTCCAACGACGTGGAAATGGGTTATGGCCAAACCACCGATGCAAAGAAGACTACCAACTTCTTCCAGATTCACTCAATCAGTGGACGCCACGCGTCCCTGGATATCTGCTCCGTTTGCTTCAGCGTTTTCTCGGTGGTGTCCCTCTTCGTGTTCTTCTACATTGAGAAGAGAAAGGGAAAAGCTTCTTCCACGCAGAACAAGTGAGTGCGTGACATGGCATAGAAAGGTTGACATATAACAAAACAACGTAGCAATGGCATTCGCGGGTTTACTATTTATAGTGTTTCCAGTTAGGTAAAAGTTCAAGGACATTTTGTATTGTTTCGTGACTTGGATGCTATGGCATCACTATAAACCAAGTAGCTGAAAAAATGCACAAGTCTAGTATGTTGTTCATGAGAGGAATCTATCTTATAATAGAGAAATGTTAAGAGATGACGGAAGAAAAAGAATGATGTGGACTTTGGTTGTTTCAACTCCGAACAGCGTCAGCATTGTAGTAATATGTTGTAATTGTAAAATTCCAATGAATGTCACTGCTTGCTTTAGGTTCTTTACTTCTCCGTGATAAATGACGAAATAACTCCTCATCTTTATTTTTACAATTTTTTTTCATCTTGTTTTCATCCTTACTTTGAGTTCTATATCCTTATATATTCTGCTTAATCCGACTTATTTTTATTATTTTTCTACTAAATCCTATATTGTTAATTAATAAATAATCTTGTTAGCACTCATTTTGAGTCTCAACTAGCCCTCATTTAAGGTGTTTCCCTTCCTCATCGTTAGTGTGATAAATATGTTAGCACTATACCTATATGACGAAGAATACTAGCAACACAATGTTTCATGCACTCTTTTTAACATATTCTTTACGCTAAAATTTAGTGAAAACTAAAAATTTTGAAATAAACATTAATTTATAAGTGAAAAAGAGTGAAACTCACATAGTTTTTATAATTTTTAATAAATTTTATCTAATAATAAAAGATGTATTACAGAAAGTATGTTGCTAGCATTTTTTTTGTATGATAGATTACTTCACTAGCAGGGTGAGCTATAAGGAGCCATTTATTTACACTCTCAATTATCTGTAGCAATTCAGTATTACTTTACCCATCTAATGCTGAAGCATGATCTCATGCGAACTTAGTAAGACACAAGCTAATACGCTAATAAAATCACTCGAGGCCTATCATTACATCTATGAGATGAGTTCAAGAACATAAAATTCTCGAAATACTTGGTCAGGGGCTAGCATTTTAACTTGCGAAGAGTTGAGCCACCTGCTATGAATTCAGGTTGAAAGCCAAAGTAGAATGCAGTGAAATATGCAATTTCAGTATGAAAAATAGTAATAAGAGTAGTCACATGGTCAGGATCACAAGAATGTTTTTCAATGAATATAATCATATATGAATGACAGCAAATAGTTTTACACGACCAATCACAATGCACATGCAAAGCATTTTAAGTAATGCTCCATGCTGCATCCTTGCCTCTCTCAAAAGGAAGGAACATGTTGAGCAGAGATGGGTTGATTCATGAACTTGCAAATTACCGGTACCAGCTCAACTGAGTTATTCTAACTTAAATAGAAACCTTCCCTTAAGTAGGGCTAGAACACGATCATAGTTACTCTATCTATTATTAATAAAAGATAATAGGTATTCTTCCAAACATCAACCCATCCTGTCTAAAAATTAACTTCGGGATTAAAATACATGTCTGTACTTTTCATTCGGTCAGTTCCAACAAGCCATATTCTGTCATCGTAGACATCAATGCTTCCAAATGCATCCGTACCAGGAGGACATTCCAGAGCAGCTTCAAGAACTCTATGGTGTATCCCATGAGAATCAATGCAGTATCCGCCTGTGTGATTATGTCCAGCAAGACAAACCTTAACGCAATTGTATCGGTGTATCAAATTCATCACTTCATCATAATTCCACAACAGTGACCCCTTGGAAGCTGCACCGGGATCTAGAGGCATATGGCAACAGACAACAACCTTCTGTTTCAATGTTGTTGCCTCCTGCAGAACACCATCCAACCAGTCCATCTGTTCCTTTCCAACAGCACCATTAAACATGAGAAACCTTCTTTCAACCCCCACCAAATTTGTTGGACTGTTCTTATCTTCATTTGGATTCTTCTCACGTAGGCATTTCAAGGCCCCGATTGTTTTTGGATGATCTTGAGGCCAACCTATGGCACTGATGTCATAGCCATCCAGAACTACAAATCTATATTCAGGCACTGGTGAGAAATCATAGTAAGCATGATCATCAAGAGTTTGGATCTTCAATAACGGAAGTAACTTGCTGCGAGGAAGATTGTACAGGCAATGATTTCCAATCATATGATACACGGGTCCCCTGAACTTCTCAAATTCATCCACTACTTTCTTCACAGTATCAAGAGATTGATCTTTGGGACAATATCCATCAACAATATCTCCAAAATTAATCACAAACTTATGCTTCTGATGAGTATTCCATTCTTTTATTGCTCTCTGCAACACAAGAATACTATGCCTATAATACCGTGGAACACCAAGGAATGAATGACCATCAGGAATGTCAGCATATTGGACATCAGAAATCAATCCAAAAGAAAAAAGAGGCTGCTTAGTAGCTAATCCATTAGAAGAAACCATGGTGTCTCTCTCTTGGAGCCCCTATCATACATTCAACATTTATAAAGTCATCAAAGTAGTACTTTCCAAGAGCAATCCTATCTAAAATAACACAGACAGAAACCAATCATCTCATTCTCAACCTCTGAGCAATTCAGAGAAGAAAAAGGGGAAAAATACACAGCACAAATAAAACAAACAGAACGTTAAGTTGCTAATTTGATTTGTGTTTAATTATCTGACTCCTGACATTTTTCTTATCAAAGCAGAATCATCACACACCCCCCCCCCCCCCGCCCCATCAATCTGAGATTAGTAAATGCAATTTCCATTCCTCATGTTAATAAATAAGAACACATTCCAACCAATTCCCAAAAAATATAAGTTTGTATCAAATTCAAGCTAGTAACTAAACCTAACATTGAAATGTTAAAAAAAGTAATATAAGCAAAAAATCTCAAATATCCTTGATCATGAGACATATAATTAACACTATAAATAAGAACCAGAATGCCAACAGTTTTTCCAAATTGCACAAATCAAACATAAGTAATAGATAGAACATTAGATATGTTAGATAATACACTTACGAGAAGGAATTTCCTGATTCATGTGTGAGGACAATATAACAACTATAAAAACATAGGCATTGGGTGAATTATAACACTACATATTTTCAGGAGTTAAGAATTTAATAGTAATTATAATTATAACAATTATCTGACATTTAGACACTGTAAATAGATTAGAGTAATTCAGTAAATTTAAATTAAATTAATATTCTTTCCACTAACTAAAATTCTAAATTCTCTAGATCTAAATATCACAGCCACACAATTTAAAATATGCTATAACAATGTATAAAAAGAAAAAATCTTGTAGTATCTACTACCATCACTAGTCACAACCACAATTTCAAATTAATTGCAGCAACGTAACACTTGACAATATTAAAAGAAATGAAAAGAATAATATATGTTAAGAGCAATTCACCTAGGACAAGAAAACCAGATGATGAGCAAACTCAAATTTTGTGGTGTTGAAAATTCTGATGTGAATTCTAATCACACAGATGAGTTAAAAAGAGTCACTAGTTGAAAAAGAAAGAACATAGCGAGTAAGTAGAATGACCTATATTCAGTTTATAGTTGTCTTGAGGATTTTGGTTTTTCCATGATACTAGATTCATTTTTGTGGTTTTTCTTCAAGTCAATTAGAAGAAAACTAATGAGACAATTTGGACTCCCAAACTCCAATTGTTTTGGCTGTGCTCAGCTTTTGGGACAGATTATTAGGAATTCAGATGTGGAGAAGGAAAGTCTTATATTAAAAACAGAAAAGAGAAGTGAGTAGTTTATAATTGGAAGGACATTAACGTGTTGGACAAGTTTCGTGTAGAAAACCATTCTGGTCCATGGCACCCAACTTGTGTCAGTCAGTTTCTTGGTAAAGTTGTGAATATTGCCCTATGACCATGATGTGTTTATTCAATAAATTCTAATGCTAAGTTTGCATCTATTTATTCAATATTTTTTTAAAATGATAATTTATGTTATAAATTTAATCATAAAATTTATTAATATAAACTAAAAATAACTTACTTTGTTAAGTTATACCCAGAAACCTGTTAAAATAAGCTAAAAAGAGTTATAAGAATTATAAGTTGACCATTAAATTTATTGAAATAAGGTGAAAAGAAGTTATTTTGGTAAGTTATATCGAAAAACAAATTGAAATAAACTGAAAAGAGCATTGATCCTATCTATCTAAATTGGACCCTCAATTTATTTGGTATCACATCACAAATGAAGTTTTCCGGAAGGCCCAAATTGGATGGATGTAACCGTGAATTAATTTTAAAAAATTGCAGTGTGGCTATCTAGGTGCATTTCAAAGGGATATATAGATATTATAACAGCAGGGAAAATGAGATACCCAGTGACCTAGCTATGGCGAAAGAGAATAGGTAAATTTTGCAAAGAAAGAAAAAAAACAAATGGTTTCAGTTCAGAGCAGCTGAAGGAGAATAAAGAGGGATTTACCAGTATAATTTGAAAATTGGAACGGCGAAGTGTGGTGAAAACAGAGAAGCATCAGAATGAAAAGTAGAATGGAATTGAATAAGGTGGTAGTCGATCAAAATTGAGGCGTTGAAGGGTAGTTGTCGGAGACACGGTACTGACACTGAGCCACTAGATAGGTTACGCGTGTACAATAACACCTCTGTCTTCCCTCTCCCGGATTCCTTAAAGCCAGCTTCCTCGCCACATTTTGCCCACTTAAAGGGGAATTTTAAACTCCTAAAAATTCAAATTAGATTGTAATGTTATTAGAGTGGTTTGTTAAAAAAATGTTAGTGATTATTAAAAGGTTATTGATATAATATTTTATTAATTAATTTTTTTATATTTTAATTAAAATTAAAATTAAAAATATTGGCTAATAAAATACTAAACTAAACTAGTTTTTCAAATTAAAATAAATTTTTTGACGTTTTGTTAATAATATTTTTAAGGTATTGGTTAAATAATTGACAATAAATTTTTTTAAAAAATTTTGCTATGATTGTATTAAAAATTAGGGTACAATACAGTGATATAATTATTTTTTAACTTTTTCTTTAACTAATAAGAGAGGCTAAAAGTCTAAACAACAGAAATTGTTTTATTTTTAACTTTTAAAGTATACTTAAATACAAGTTGGTATTTTATTTTAAAGTTAATATTCAATTTAGGGTACAAGGTATTATGTATGTATCATTGTAGATATTTCAAATGCATTCACAATTGGGAGATAATGTCATTACTGCAATGTGGCAATTTTTTAGTGTTTCAAGTAGTCTCATAACAGGGTACGTGAACTCAATTCCTAGGTCATTATAACGATTTTTTTTAAAGCTTACTTACCATATAAATAACTTGTGTGTAATTTGTAATATGTGATTTTTACTTTTTAATAATAAATATAAAACTTTCTTTCTTTCTTTTTATTAACTCTCTTGTCTTTTTGATACTGAGTTGTGATACTTTTTAAGTTTCTTTCTTAACAAAACTAATATCGAAGAGAGGTCAATTATAACGGGCTCCAATGAAAATCTACTTGATAATTTACCAGTCCTTAATGCAAAAAATTGGGACAAGTGGTCCAAATGAAGGTAATTTGTTCTAAAGGTAATGCAGAGTGGTGTTCCGAAGCTTGAGAAGAATCAACCGATGCATAAAGGGAAACATATAAGAAGCCAAGAAAAGAGATTTGTAAGGCAATGTTCTTGAGTCACCAATTTATGGATGTGGCTCACTTCAAAAAAATGGCCTCTGCAAAGAGTGGAAAGGAGGCAAGGAAAAATCTTGAAAAGTATCATGTGGGATCGAGAAACTTAAGAAGGTAAGGCTCCAAACATTACAAAAACAACTTGAGCTTATGCAAATAGAGCAATATGAGACAGTAATAGATTACTTTACTCGGATCTTGAGCCTTATTAATAAGATGAAAGGGTGTGGTGAAAATCTCTCAGACAAAATGATTGTTTAAAAGGTGATGTGTACTGTATCTCCATGATTTCATTGTAGTTGCAATAGAGGAATAAAAAAACTTGGAAAATCATGAAAATTGAGGAACTTCAAGGTTCCTTAGAAGCATGTGAAGTGAGGCTTAATGAGAGAGGTGCAGACGCTCTTGAACAAGTTTTGCAAGCAAAGGTAACCAAGAAAAAGTGTAAATGGTGGAAGAGAAAAGAAAAGAAGACAAATTCTCATGAATAACTAAGTTCTAAATCAAAACAAGCAGAAAACTCTTCAAGAGGAGGTGGAGGGAATGAGAAGAATAAATGGGGCAAAATGAAGTTCAATAAAAGCAAATTTGTTTGTTACAATTGTCAAAAGAAATGTCACTTTGTGGACTGTTAGCAAGGAAGGAAAAAAAAGAAAAGAAAAATGATGATGAATCTTACATGACTCAAGATGATTCTAATACAGAACCTATACCGGTAATGACTATCAGCAGTGAAGCTATCAACCTAGAGTCATGGTATACTGATATAGGATGTAGCATTTACATGACAAGTTGTAGAGAATAGTTTGATGCAAGTAAAAAGAGCGAGATACGTTTTGGCAATAACAAATTAGTGAATGTTGAAGACGCAAAAAATGTGACCTTTAAAAGAAAAGATGGGAGGACTGCTCTAATTATTGAAAGTGTTTTGTATGTGTCAAATATGAAGTGCAATATACTCAGTTTAGGCTAGTATGTGTGAGAGATGAAGTGCAATATACTCAGTTTAGGCTAACTAAAGGAGAAGGGTTTAGGTGTGAACATGAAAAATAAGTTTTTTGAAATATTTGCTATACTTCTACATAATCATCAAACCTCTAAATATGCACACATGACTTCGTTTCTCTCTGGCTGTTCATTTTAAACTAGTATTACCCTTTTTTGGGTGACACTTCTGCAGCACAAACACATAACATACACTGCATGAATTGATGCGATATTATTTTTAATTTATTATTTAATCATTTCTAACCTATATTTTGTTGATTTATGAATGACCATGCGTTAAACTATGTGCTGGTATGAATCTAAATGGGGAGATATTACATAAAATAAAATAAAAAAATACTATCATTTATGATAGTGAGACACTGTTTGAGGTGGCAAAATAATGCAACATGCAGAAAATTTGTTTTAATAATATTATATGTTTCATTTTTTAATCAATGCTTTAATTTTTTGATTAAAATTATTTGGTAAAATTAATTTTAAATTAGCTGATTAGTATAAAAATGACATAAAATATATATTGAATTAATTTTTCATAACATCAATTTTCTAAACTATAGTTATTTTTAAATTATGTCATTTTTAATTTTTAATTTATTTTAAATAATTTATCATATCAAAGTTAGTTTTAAATACTTTATCATTTTAAAAAAATTAGGGATTATTATTTTTAGTTTTATTCTTATTTTAAAATATTTTATTACTAAAATGAGACGATATAATCAGGTTTATATGATATTTTTAATGATTTTATTTTGTAAAAAATTCTATTTGATGATTTTGCTGAATCTTCTTGAAGAGCATAAAAAAATATTGCTATCAAATTCATAAGTGACGGATGTTCCAGAAATTATTTAGCATTTCGTTTGCATTTGATGATGTGTTTTTCACTTTTTGAAAAATACATCATAATGTAATTAAATAAATTATATTTCCTTAAAATTAAAAATATTTATCTTATAATTTCGATACCAGAGAAGCTTAATTTTGACTGATTATTTGCGATGAATTTGAATGAAATGTAATTTTTTATTGCTATTCAAAGAAATAATTTAATTTTGATATACAGAATTTAATGATTGAATGATAGAATAAAAAAACTGTTTTTTTAAATTTTTTAAACAAATAAACTTTTGAAATTATAGGACAATTGAGTTATTTTTTGGTCTAACTCAAAATTTTGTGAAGAAGCAAGTATTTATCAGTTGAATTACTTTTCACATATTTTCAGGTTAATTGAGTGAATAACACAATATAATGATAGTATAAACAATTATAACCAAAATAAAATTTTGTTAAAAAATATACTTTTCAAGTAATTAATATAATTATTATTAGTTAACGCGATGTCAACATAAATTAGAATCAGATTAAATGATTTTACCAAAATGATTAGAAGGCAACATTTAATCTATAAAGGAATAAAAATTAAAATCAATAAATTAATGATAGAAAAATAATAAGTAATAGTGACTAGTGATAGAGGGGATGAGAGCGCGAATGAAAGCAGGACTTGTGCAAGAAACAAACAGAGACAGTGCTTCTCACTTTTCACACAGACGAAGCAATCACTCCACGCCAAAAGCGCAATTCAATTACCCAATTCACGACGACATGTAATACAACAATCGCTTATTTAAATTTTGACATTCAAAATAATCGGTTTCTGAATTCCGTTCCGCTTGGCCATGGCGTTGAGAAACGGCGGAAGAAAACTTTCCTTCGAGGTTCTTAGCCGAAGCGTTTCCCCTGAAGACGAATCGGATCCATCTCAAGCCAACCGCAAGAAGCGCAAGCACCGAGCCTCCAAGAAGAAAAAGAAGCTTCTCGATCGCGCCGATTCCATCGATCCACTGCATTCGAAGACGGACGCGCCGTTTGAGAACGGCTTAGCCTGCAACGGTTTCGAGCTTGACGCGCATAGGTGCTTCGCTGTCGGCGGAAGCGTCGTCGTCTGCGAGGAGGTGCGTGAAGCGAGCGTGTGTGATGTTGCGGAGGCGCGTGAGGACGGGACTGATATTCCGACGAGTGTGCGCGGTGGCATAGAAGGGTTTAATTTTGGGGAATTGCGGCAGAGAAACGTGAATTGCGGAAGTTCTGAGGATTTAGTGGCTCCGGTGACGCGCGATGAGAGTGCTATTGGGAAGGACGATGGTGAAGTGAAGGTGAGTCCGGTGGAGAAACCGACGAACGAGCCTGACAGGAATGTTGTTACGAAGTTGGAGACGGTGGAATCGTTGGATTGGAAGCGTATCATGGCAGAAGATCCGAATTGTAAGTGGCGCAATTGTTCCTGCTCTGCATCTGCATGCATCACATTGCATATCATAATTGTTTTTTTGGTTATGGTTTCTCGGAAACTATATGCATGTTTGGCAGCACTAATATTTTGTGAAATAATCACTTATTGCTCATATGTTTTATAAAGTAAGCAGTTGTTTCTTGAAAAAAAGTTAGTTCAGTTTTGTTGTTAATTTTTGTCACAACAAAGTTGTACATTGTCTTCGTTTTGGTAAGGTCTGGAAAAATGAAAATTGGGTTGGTCCTTCTTCCTTGTGAATGATGTGATTGGTTACATGGCCTACTACAGATATTGACTGAAACTGAACAATGGTTGGCAGTGGAAATTAATGTTTTGACAGGGATAAAAGCTTTTGCATGTGTTCTTATTATGCTTCAGCTGCTCATTTATGAATAAAAACTAGTCGAATGGTATGTGCGGTCATTTTTGCGTGGAGCAATTTGTTGCCTAATTTTGTTACCCTGTCATTTATTTTTACCAGTGCAATGTGTTCTATTTTTTTATTTTTCTGCTGAATTGACCTTGTGGTGATGTTTTGATGTCAGGTGTGTTTTCAGTGGAGAAGTCTCCTGTGAGGTACTTTTTGGAGGAAATGTACAATGGAAATTCTCTACGGAGCACAACAATTCTTGGCAATGAGAAAGAACGAGAGAGAGTTTATGACACTATCTTCCGCTTGCCCTGGAGATGTGAATTGGTATACTTTTTTTTTTCTCAATTGAAAAGGAATAAGAAATAAAAAATAACTCTGGTTACTGTTTTGTTATGTTATCTGTGGATCTTTTGTCCTGGTTGAGCTGCCTGAATTTTTCCACAGTAATCAAAACAAGTTCACAGGTTTTGGGGGAAAGAAGTAGACTAAGCTTTCCACCTAATGCATATTATTTAACCTATAGTAGCATATGTTTCTCTTAAGGCGTTCTACATTTTGTGTTGTGGTATCTTAAACATGGAGTGCAATTGCAGCTTATAGATGTTGGCTTCTTTGTCTGCTTCGATTCATTTCTTTCATTATTAACTATTATGCCAACAAGGATCATGATGACCATTTGGAGGCTTCTAAAGACAAGGTTTGCTACCTTTCCTTAAAATATTTTCCCTTTGTAATAAAATGTTTGATGACCATGCATGTGAGGATTTAGGTGATAGATTAATCCTATATCATCCGTTTCCATAATTTAGATTTCTAATGTAATCTGTGTCTTATCCAGTTCTACAATCCTACAAGTGCTTCAGATATCATCATAAATCTTTGAATGACAGAACAAAGTGATTTTTCTTGAACCATTCATCCAAATAAGCAGTTAGTTCAATTAGAAATTCTATATGATACAGGACTTAGTTGTTAATTTATGTCTAGACTCATATCAGTCCCTGCTTCTCTGTTAGATGAATAAATTAGACGAAACTCTCCTTAATACAAAATCTACATATTCTTGTGCTTTGATTTGTATTCTCTTTTTGGTCGAACTCTTGTTCTGTTTTGAATTTTGTCCTAGTCCTTCATTGTTTGCAGCTTTACAATATGACCTAATCATGCTCATGACAGGCAGTTCAAGAGGCTGTCTACAGTGGAGTATTCAGATTTTGGCTGTTTCCTTATTATGTGTTGTGGAGTGGTTCTTTTGCAGCGAACAGGTGTAGTGATTCTCTGGTTGCATGATTATCTGTTATATCATTCCTTTTTATATCGATCAAGTTTAATATTATACTAATTTTGTTTTATTTTATCTTTCAAACATGCTGTGGCAGATATCAGCTTAATATATCATATGATACGTGGTCAAGGAACCATAAAATTATATGTGGTCTATAATGTTTTAGAGGTGAGCATAAATCTAATAGTCTGGATTGTGTTGAATAATTATCTCTCCACATTGCCAAATTTCCATAAAAAAATGCATATTTATATTATTTAGAGTTCATGTGAGCAAGATCTTGCAGCAGCAAAGTAAGAGAATTTTACAGAATATGGAAGAATATAATTTTGCTTTGTAATTAATTTGTATACCATAGAACTCTGACACCTGATGAAATAAAATATTGCTGTATTTGAAATTATTAGTATCAATATGCTATCTCCTTTTATTTTGCCATAGCACCCATTTTAATGCTGTGTCCCTGTATGCTTTGTGTTTGATCGTATGGAGTAGTAAATCTGAATTAGTGACAATTGGCATGAAGTTCAAAATTAAGAAAAAAAAGTGATAACAAAGTTGTATTGGCTTAGGTGTGATTTGGGACACCCAAAATTAAAATGTGACAAAAGGAGCAGGATGTATAATATAGTGTAAATGATTTTGTTATAATTGTTTGAAACATGCATATAGGTATTTATTTGCCTTTTGGTAGTTAAACAGTTCAGTTCACAAATACTGAAATTCTAATTGCAGCAGCCATAGCTTTTACTTTTAGTTGCCTCTTGATTGCGGAAGTGTGGTAAATTGTTGTGATCCAAAATGAAACTTATACTGTAACTTTGTTACTGATCTTTCAACTTCTTGCAGATATTTGATAAATTATGTCAAAGTTTTAATGGAGATGTGTTGCAAACATTATTTCTTTCTGCTGAAGGACTTGCAAGTTGCCCCCCTGAAAGCATGAGATTCTGGATATGGAGATTTGTTTCTGACCAAGCTTTAGCTGTGGCTGCTTCAAATATCCTTCTCTGGGATGAATTTGCCCCCCCTACCCCCCTTGTTTAGTTAACTATTTTCTTCTGTGAAGGCAAAAGAAAACAACAGGGTTGGTGGTTTGATTCCTTAACCAGTCTTACTTGCTCATTCTTTTATCTTATTAGCCCAGGCAATCACTTTATCAACCTGTATAGTTGCTCACAACAATGCGTTGTTAGCTTTACTGGTGTCCAATAATTTTGCTGAGATCAAAAGCAATGTGTTTAAGCGATACAGCAGGGATAACGTTCACAGTTTGGTTTACTTTGGTAAGTTATCTTTCCTACAATGGTCTTTTTTCTTTCAGCTTATTTGATCTTCATTCAAATATGGAAGGGGCCTTAATTTAATTTCTTATGGCCTCATTTTCTCGATATTATTTGAGCTAGGTTCGGCAATAGTTGATTTGTTAGGTTGTATGCTTTATCAATAGTATCAACCCAAGTAAATATGTTTCAACGTTTGTAGTTCAAAGCTTGAGCATTTTTTTATTTCAAATGCTATTATTTGAATCTTGAATTGCTTTCTTTGGCACTTACCTGTGTGATATGATCAGAAGAAAGCTTTTGCTTTTAATGGTCGGACTCAATTGATATGCATTTTTAAATACACAGAATAAAAATAGGTCTTTGATTTAAAATGAAAAATTTGTTTCAATTTTTGGATACTCAAGAATAATATTTTATTTGTTCCATATAATTTATAGATTTGGAACATGGAATGAATATAACTTATAAGTAATGAAGATAAAAGAGGAACAAACATCAGTTAATTCTTGTTTGCTAGAGATGTGGATGTCTTAAGTCTTCTGCATGATCATGATTTGAAATGCAGTTTTTCATTCCCCTATACCAAACATAATCAGGGTATAAACTTGTTTGTCTGCCTTTGTTGAGAAAGAGACAAATGAAGTGAATTGATTTAGAAATGGATTAACATTTGATACACTATCTATCTCTTTGGTCAAATTTTCACACTAGTAGTGTTAAAATCATAGTTGGACATAAAAAAAATAATGGATGTATGAAAATATTTTTAAAATGTGATATAACTAACACATTTTAAATATTTTTTATCTGTTATTAAAAAGATGAAAAATAACTATAATATCGAAATTCATAATTTTAAGGCATCTGGTTGGCTAAAATTCGAATTTATATTAAAAGTTAGTGCATTCTAAGTTGCATATTCATATTATTTGTAGACATAGGTCTTGCAAAAATTTTTAGTTACTGATTGATTGGACAAGAAAAAGGGGCGGGGGGAGCGTAGAGAGATTTTGATAAAACCCCCTTATTTGGTTCAGAAGTTTGGGGGGCAAGTGACCGGAATTAAAAAGGTTAAAATCTCTCTGTTCCATCTTTTACCTTCTCTCCAGTATTGGGGCAATTCTATTTTCCCTCTCCTCTCCTCTCCTCTTTTGTACCAAATAGTTTGTTAGTAAAATAATTGGTTAAAAATTATGAGCGTAAACTTCTATACAATGCACGTGTATGTAAAATTAACTTATTTTTTAGTTGAAATCCGCTAAACGTGCAAGAATTCAATAGGATTTTTGTTCTTTAAAGTTTTTTTTTTTTTCTCTTTTGTTATGATTTTTTTTTTTTTTTAATTTTCCCCTTTACATGTGCTGACAAACAGATTCTGTAGAAAGATTCCACATTTCTGCATTTATCTTATTCGTTTTGGCTCAAAATATTCTGGAGGCAGAAGGTCCCTGGTTTGAAAGTTTTCTTAATGTAAGATATGGAAATATTTTAGCTCCTAATATTTATTGAAGTTTAGTTTATTATGTGGGCTTCAATTTCCCCTGACACATATTTTGGATGGTGCAGAATATCCTCTTGGTTTATGTATGTGAAATGATCATTGATATTATCAAGCATTCATTCATTGCTAAATTCAACGACATTAAGCCCATTACATACTCTGAGTTCCTTGAAGATCTATGTAAACAGGTATTATAATCTGATTTAATGTGGATAACACACCTGAATGCACCAAGACTCTCCATGATTCAATTGCAAATGCTTTAAAAATCATTTGCTGCAATATGCTTTAATGAGAAAAAGGTTTATATGGCAATATGGTTCAATTTCTTTAAATTAAACAAATTTTTTCAATTTTTTTTTTCTTTTCAATTCATTAAGTATACTCGATTTCATTTTTGGTGTTACTTATGTTTATTGTTTAATTCCATTGTGAATTCATTTTAACTGGGTAGCAGTTTCTTCTGCATTTTTCATAGAAGCGTAATTTGTGTCAGAAAGGAACAACAGGGTGTTTAGCTGATACTTGAGAACGATTATTATTTTGTTAAGAATAATTTACAATTCTGGACTTCTATATTATGGCAATCAAATTGCATTAGCATTTTGTCCCTTTTCTTTGATAAAACTTTTCTCAAGAATATACACCTGACCTTTCACTTTTCCATTCTGTAGACTCTAAATATGCAAACTGAAGGTGCTAAGAAAAACCTGACTTTTGTCCCCCTTGCTCCAGCATGCGTGGTAAGCATATACAATTTAAAATGTTCATTCGGTTTATCTGTTTTTTTTTTGTTGTCAATTCAGCTTGTGTGCGCCTTTTCCTTTCATTACTCGTTTTTAGGTTATTCGAGTTCTCACTCCAGTATATTCTGCAAACCTTCCTCACAATCCCCTTCCATGGAGAATTTTCTGGATTCTTCTATTTTCAGCAATGACCTATGTTATGCTCACAAGCCTCAAGGTTCTCATTGGCATGGGCCTACAGAAACACGCCACTTGGTATGTTGATCGCTGCAGAAGGAGAAAACACCATCTTCATGCAGATTAATTTTGAAGGGAAAATATTGCTGTCTTGAGTTAATGTTCTCTACTGCCCAAGGATTCCTCCGCTTATGCCCCGAGTGCATTTATTGAAAGAGCCCAGGGAGATAATGATGCCTTGAGTCTTGAATCATCATCGGTGAGTATAACATACGAGAAAAACTTTTTGGTTTATAACTTGAAGGTGAACCTATAGATGGTTTCTCCTTTCAATTTTGATGGCAAGATATAGTTTGATGATTACAGACAGAATAAGAATAGGATTATAGGCTGCATAGTTGCGATGGATAGTAATCACTTCTCTTTTCCTTTCCCTTGTAATCAAGTTAGGCCAACTCAATAAAAAATTACATTTTTTTTTCACTTTTTTTAAAACAACTTTTAATATCGGCACTTCTCTACATTCTTCCTCAAGTCGTGTTGATTCCGAGAAATATTGCTATGGAAGTCGTGCTAGTTCCATCTGTGCTCAATGGTTCTATATTCAAGAATCGATTCAAATCATTCTGAATAATAACTTAAAAAAAAAAATTCAAAATGAACAAACTGTGTACAAAATTGAAAATCCCAAAAGTTACTTTTTCTTCATTTCAGTTCAGTTTAATTTTTCGAAGATATGTTTAAAATCAAATAGAATCGCTGTATAGAGAGGAAAAAAATCTATACAATTTTGAAAGTGGAAGATTTAATTTGTTCGAAAAATATTAGGGAAATTAAAGTAGTTCGACGGTTAAATTAAAAGAATAAAAAATTCAGTTAAATCTTTATTATTCCACAGTGGCTAAACATATTTGATTCATTCTTCGTGTTCATCCTACCCTACACTAATTATCCTGTTTCTCTTATTTATTAGCAAACAACTCATCACACTTATTGATTGTAAGAACAAATAAAGCATAAAATAAAGTTGGATGGATAATCATTGTTTAGAGATTGGAATATGGTATTGGTTCGAGATGTAGGGGCACTTTCTTGTTGACAGTGAGGCCATATTTCTCACTCATGTCAAGGTCTTGACCAGGTTCACCGCTTTTATATAGCTTCCCATCGAACCAATATAAAAGATTAGCAAGCATATATTCGACTGATGCAAGTCCAAACGCCATTCCCGGACATTTCTTCTCCCCGAACCGAATGGGATAAATTGAAAGTCATGACCATTGAAATTCAATTCATTGTTTTCAAATCTCTCCGGTAAGAATTCTTCTGCCCTTTCCCAAAATTCAGGGTCCCTCTGAATTGACCAAGCGTTGACATATACCATTGTTTTATCAGGAATATCATACCCTCCAAGTTTGACATTGGATGTTGTTACTCGAGGAACTAAAAGTGGAGCAGGGAGGTGTAACCTCAATGCTTCTTTGACTACGCATTTCAAATAGTCCATTTGATTGATATCATCATCTTCTAATTTTGATTTATTTCCTGCCACTTTTCTTACCTCCTCTTGGACTTTCTTCATCGTGCCTGGATTTCTTACAAGTTCTGCCATAGCCCATTCTATTGTTGTTGAAGTTGTGTCACTTCCTCCCAAAAACATATCCTGAATTATAAAAATAAAAAAAATTCAGTTTACAAGTAATGCCTCTGAGTATGTTGCATATTTAATTTTAAAATTTTGATTTTTTTAGCAATGTTGATATTCTCCCTCACACCTTACCTTTTATGATAAAAGAAGATAAAATTATTTTTTTAAATGATCATTTAACACTCTTTCACTCTGTTTCAGATGAAATAAAATAATTAAAATAAAATAAAAAAAGAAAAAACCTTGTTTCTTAAAGTTCACTTTTATCTTCTTTTTATTATTAAATAAAAAATAAATTATCATCAAAATTTCTTCTCTCTATTTTGTTTTCTTCCATTTAAAGAAAAGATTAGTGTATATACATCATAATATAAAAAAAATAAAAAAAATAATAAGTGATATAATAAAATAAATATGAAAATATCAAATTATTCACAAAATGAGGTTTGCATAAAAAAGTGTCACTTTCATAGATTTATGTCACTCCTATTTCATAAAAGAATATTAGTATGATTATAAGAGTAGACAAAAATATTTAACAATAAATATTTAAGAATGATAATAGATGAAACTTGACAGACAGAGAGAGAGAGAGAGAGAGAGACCATGACGATTGCTTTTAGGTCATCCTTTGTGAGCTCGAAGTCTAGCATACCACTCTCTTGAAGTTGAAGGAGTGTGTCAAGGAAGTCTTCCTTCATGTAGTCCCTACTTCCCATATTCGTACGCTCTGCAATTACCTGATCATAGAGAGCATCCAAAGCTTTAAAAGTTGCCTTATACTTATTTGTTTGCCCAGTGAGAACCCCAATCCAACCCAACAAAGGAAACATATCTCCCAAACTGAAATCCGAAACTTGAGTCATCACCTCCCTCGCAAGCTCACCAAATCTACAATTATCATCATATTTCGTTCCGAATAAACATCTACAGATTATGTTGTTTGTGGTCGCAATTAGCATCTCACTAAGGTTTACTGAGGGTTCATTACTCTTGCACGATTTACGAATCTTATCAACCACTGCCTCAACTTCTTCTTCCCTAATGAACCCAATTGATTGCACCCTTTTGAGGCTCAGCAATTCAATCGCACAGAGTTTCTTTTTCTGTCTCCATATGTCACTGTATGATGAAAACGCAATGCCCTAAACCACGTCATGCGTTTGCAAAACTTCTTTGGCTAAATCTGCTGAGGAAACCACCAAAACGGAAAGCTGACCCAGTTTCAACCACAATAGAGGACCGTACTTTTGTGAGAGGGCATGAAAAGAGCGAGGTGGGAGTGTTCCTAGCTGATGGTAATTGCCAATTATCAGTAGTTTTGGTGGGGATGGTGGCAGATTCTGTTTCTTTTTTCTTGTGAGTTTAAACACCAGCACCATGCTGATGAAGAAGGAAAGTAACATGAAAAAGGTAGCATTTAGGTCACGTGGCACTTGCTTCAGAAATGTTGCTAGATGTGAAGCCATGTTTCCTTCCATCGTCTCACTCTGCTGATGCATTGGTAGAGCTTACAGCAAATGTATTTATATCCTGTCCTAGTTTTTTTTTTTACCTATATAATTTTAGATAATGAACTACTGGACTTATCTTTATTTTTGTAGTATAATGCTTTTAAGATATGTATACATAAAAATAATAAAACATAAATAAAAGATAAAAATAAATATACAGTGTTAATTTTTTAGTTTTTAAACAATAAAATTTAGATGCATTATAGAAGGTATTGAAGTGAAATTTTAATTTTAATTTTAATTAAAAAATGATATATAAAATACTTCCAGTAATTAACTTTTGTCATTCTTTAAACAACAAAACTGTAAATTAGGCTAATGATATTTAATGTGTTTCGGTGCATCGGCAAGTAGATATTTTCTCCCTCGAAGAAGAGTGAGTTTAGCTTAACTTGCCCGTTTATCTAAAACATTTTAGATAGTTTAGAATCTTACTGGTGTATTTAAGCACACAGAAAGCAGCGTGTTGATATGAAGCTACGACAGACAAATATTGCATTTGGCTGGTTGGGACTGCACAAGGCTTCAGAAGTACAGGTAGCAGCTAAAGGCACCGTTTTTAATCTGATATATTAACACTTATCATCTTTGATGTCGCTATCATTATATAATATCAAATGAAGCAGAGAAGAAATGGATCGAAGCTTGTGATTACGTTTTGCGTCATCCTAGAACAATCGTATAATCAAACCAAAAGGAAAATGAAATGTAGATCGGTGAGTCCATAGATTTCTCCCATCCCAATCATTTTTTATTAGTAAAAATTATTTATAATAAAAAATATTAGATATATTAATTAATGTAACAAAATAAAAGAAATATTATATAAATAATATAATTTTGAAGTATATGTATATGTATACCAGCAAACTATATATTTACATTGAAATATTATTTATTCAGAATGGATGTTAGAATTTATGTAAAAAAATATTATTTATTAACTTTTTAGCATTGAAATAATTTTTGTTAGGATATATTTTTTTAATAAAATTAAATTATTAATAAATATTATATGAGATTAATCAACCTATTAATTTAATTTTTTATTAAATATATCAACTTTATAAAATTTTAAGAAGAAAAAAATTATAAGTACTTTCTTACATTACTTATTTTTATGGATAATATAATTTTAAAATAAAAGTAAATATTCTTGGATGAGATACTTACAAACCTTTAGAATTATATAAAATTTGATATTCATGATAAAAAATAATAAAAATAATTCAATGGTTGAATTAATTAATTTTGTATTATATAAAAAGTTATCAAATTATGTAAATATTTAAGTTTAATACTTGATATTAATAAATGCTCTTCTATTTATTTTTTGTTAATAAATGTGTTTATATTATTTATATTTAATATCTTAAATGAGTAAGGATCTATTGACACTAAGTGTTAAACACTTGCATAACTTAATAACTTTTTATAAAATGTAAAATTTATTAATCTTACCATTGAATCATTTTATATTGTAATTTTGATTATGTATATCAAATTTAATGTAATTTAAACATTTGTAAGTATGTTATCTGAAATTTGATACTTATTTAAATTTTAAAAAACATGTTATTCATTAAAATAAAGTTATAATTTTATTTTTCATAAAACATTATACAATTGGTTTACTTAATAAGAACTTTTAAATTAATGGTTGCATTAATTAATCTCACATTCTATAAAAAGTTATTAAGTGATATAAGTGTAAAAGTTTAACATTTGATATCAACAAATTCTAACTCATCATAAATAGTGGGTGACATATAGTAATACATTGTTATTATTTAAATATCAAGAATATCCTTAAATCAAATATAAGGTAAGAAATATGTCACCTTAGAAAGTCTAATTATTATTTTTTGATACTCAAATAGACTTTCCTAAAGTAAATAAATCATATTTATTTTATTGAGCATGACAATGCAATTTATAGTTGAACTTTATTAAGTAGACTTATAAACATTATTCTTGTTACACAAAAGAGACAAATCATGTATAGATCACGCACATTCTTCCACATGATTTATTTTTTGTTAGCAAAATTAGTATTTTTATCATATACTTTTAAGGTGAGTTTCAATTTTGTCTTACAACTTTTTTTTTATTCATTTTAATTTTATAACTTTTAAAAATATTTTAAAGAGGTCATTTTTTTTGTTAAAAATATTAAATGCTAAATGTTTTTGTCTTTTTCTATTAAAAGTATTGTTCATCACCATCCTTAGATCTTTGATCTGCATCTCTTCTACTTTTTTCTCTTCCTTCTCCCTTACATCTTTTTCGTATATAATTTTTATTTTTCTTCCTCCTTTCTTATTTGCCTTCAAACCTCACACAATGTAGGATGATGTCTGCCACCACTTAGAAAAATAATGTTGTTGCTATCCCTTACATTAATACTTCCTAAAAGAGGTGCAACAAGTGACGATGAAGATCTTTAGAAGTTAGGGTGAGTTTGAAATGAGAGATTGAGTGAGTTAATCATGTAGAGATAGAAGGTCATTAATAAAAATAATAATAAAGAGGAAGAGGAAGCAAAAAAAGATAAGAAGACACAAATCAGAGATCTAAAGAAAGATTTTGAAGACAAAAAAGAAAAGGCATAAAAAGATGAAGGAGAAGGGGAGACACGATCGAAAATGTTAAGAAAATGGTAAACAATATAAAAATAGTACATGAGGTAAAAAAGATAACAACTTTGGATAACTACTTTTAACAAAGTTGACATTCTTAACAGAGGAGGACATATTTGAAATATTTCTAAAATTTAGAGACTAAAATGAATCATAAAAAAGTTAGAGAATAAAATTAAAACTTATTTTAAAAGTTAAGAATAAAAACACTAATTTTGCCATCTTTGTCTAACTTCTAACTCTAAGATTACCTTGTAACAAGTGATGCTTAGTGAAATTAAAATATATAACTTTTCGTGTAAGAAACATAATAACTTTCAATCAATTAGTCACATATATCATTATTATATTAAAAATTGTTTAAGACACTTATGCAACCATCTATGATAGATCAGTATAAAACATAATTATTACTAATAAAATTATATGTCAATTCACACTCTAGTCTCCACATATTATATTATCTTCAAAATAAAATTTGATTAGAAAAATTTTAAAAATAATACTAAGTAAAATTTTATGATTAAATCATTTATTTGATATTATTCAAAACTGTATTTATTATTCTAAAGACATTACTATATTCCTTTTTGAACATAAAGGTTTCCGGTGCTGCGGTGCATATACTAATAAATTATTGGCATGATATTTGTTGTGTTTTCAATCGTTATAAGACTTTCTTGGACTTTTTAATATAAAGTGGATTTCATTTTTTGCCATATTTAGAATTAATTTAAATTTATAATAATATTATTACTTTATTAAAAGTAAAGTATTTATTATATTTTTATATTTCTAATGTAATGAATGATTTTTAATAAAATTTTATTATTTTTTAATGTTTAAAATCAACCTTAAAAGATAAGATTAACAAATATATTATTAACAAAAATATTTCTTTTTATGTAAACTAAAAGACTTATTTTTCCTGTAATTCATCTTCTTTGACTTCTTTAATTTTTTTCTTTTCAAGAAAATTTATCTTTCTTCGTACAAGAACTAATGAACCATAGCAGTTGATTATTTGCAGTTCCATTTTCTTGTAGAAAAATCATATTCTTCTTAACTCAAGAATCAACAGAAAATGCTTATGCGTTAGAAATCTTAAGAGAACATTTCAAACAATAAATTTTCAAAAAGGTTTATCTTAGCATCTAATATTAAAAATTTAATTTCAAACTGTATGTTTTTCAAAAATTCAATTTTAAAAATGTGTATCAATAATTTTTTATAAGTAAATTATGGATTTAACTTAAAATTATTTCCGAAAATTTGTGTCTAAAAAACTGATAAACACTTGTTCAAATACAAAAAAAAAAAAAAGGAAATTGAAAGTGACGAGTAATATGAGTTATATGACTCATAAATAAGTTTAGAAAGTTATAATATTTACAATCTAATTCTTAATAAATTTTGCAGATTAAGAATTTATAAATATTAAATGTGTGAAAAAGAATTATAATAATGGCATGGATGTGTTAAAGGTGTTAAAAAAAAGTTATAAAAACTAAAAGTGAATTTTAATAATTTTATAGGAACTAAAAATATATTTAACTCTTAACACAAGAAAACTTATTAAATCAACTTAAAATATTTTTTGTTAATTTTATTCTCATATAAAGAAATCTATACGAACAGTTAATTTTCGTTAAAAGAAATCTGTACGAACAATGGTTGATCTAAAAGAAAAACTATTAATAAATGATATTTCGTTTTTACGGTGATCCATGCATAACGCTAGTAGAAAAGTGAATCAAACCTTCTATCAAAGCGAAAATTAATTATACAAAAAGCAAGAAAATGTAAAATTTGAATTAACAAAAAAGAAACAGCATGCAAAGTAAAAAAATTGACGTTAACAAATGAGTCTTGGCCACAGCAGGTGGCGGCATAAAATCCAACACACAAAAGAATAATAGAAATACTGCGAACCTTAATTCACAGCCTAAGAACAAGAATCAAGAACACGATGGTACGAGATATATAGTTGTGATGCGATGAACATGGAACAGCTCTGTCGTTGCCGTTGATCTTGTACTTTCAAAGTTTGTTCAGCAGAAAATATAACTTGCTTTGGACCCTAAAAGACCATATTTGGAGTTCATCGTCTTCTTTCAACTTATTAACAGATACAACATCTTTCCAATTCTTTACTAGATTGTAAATGCTTGTTGTCTTCATTGTCCATTTTTTCAATAATAAAGTAAATTCTCTAAGACATGGGTCCAACACAGTCACTTCCAAACCACGAATTCGTCCCTTTCTACCTTCTCTTTCACCCAATGTTGACTTCTCATCTTCTGTGAGAAAATCGCACATAAATTCCGTCAGCGGCATTGACAAACGATTACTATTTGAACTCAAATCTGACAGGAAGAGCTTCTTGTGCATGAGAAACTTAATATCATATCCATTCAACTCAATGATTCCATTCTTGAAATTTTCAGGCAAGTTGGGTGAGGGTCCATGATGTGGAATGATTGTATCTTTTGGTTTTTTCGTAACTCTCTTCTCTTCAGCCACGTCTTCATTTTTTCTGCACCTTTTCTTAGTCGTCTTCTTGGTATTCACTGTCTCTGACCTTGTTCTAACCCTTGGAAGGAATTTATACAACTTCATTACTTGAATCATCTCTTCTTCGTTGTATAATTGTGGTGAATCTTGTGATATTATCACATCTAAAAAAGAAGGGGTAAAAGGTTTATGAGACATCTTTTGACGTGTCTCTGAATCTGAAATATTTGCCACTAATTCTTTGAGAACTTTAATATCTTTCATGATGGTAAAGGGAGCAGAGCGTAAGAGTTGAGAAATTAACAGAAGTGGAAGTATATTTTACTCTTTCGGCACAAAAAGGTGTTTCTTGATTGAGCTAATTTATATAGCAAACTTTAAACGCGTTTGTTTTGTTGTTGATGTCCCATTAAAATCTGTTTTATCTTCTTTCATATCATATCGTAAATACCAAATCCAGATATATCTTATGTATCTCTTTTAAATTTTTAAAATACTTTGAGCATTCACTTCTTTAATTTCAAAACAGTAATCAAGATAGAGTGGTTACTCGACAGGCTTGCCAAATTTCAAAAACGATTTTGCTTAATCTTCTACATCTGAGGGATGCATCATCATGATCTATTTACTTAAATATCATGCAATTACTAGAGTAAACGGCTACACACTAATTAATTTAGTTAATCTGAATTTATCATCTTTCATCTTACTATATTGGATATCTAAAGTTATCTTTGAAAGTATTTTGATTAGATTCTTTAAAATTGTGATGGAGTTCCCGATTCTATAGCAGATTTTGCTTTACACTGGGAGTTGTGTCTTGATTGAGGATAGACATTTTATCCCACCTTTGATTCGTAGTTGGATATTTCTTATTAATACTTTTTTAAAATATTAATAAAATCAGTTATCATATATGTGTTTTACAGATATATAAAACTAAAGATTAATTATGATTTAATGATAAACTGATAATTATAAGTGACTAATGAAACAAAAAGTCAAATATTGACTTAGTTAAACAGGTTTAGAATCCCTCACATATAATTAAAATCTGCTAGAATTGTTAGAGTAAAATACACTTTAAAATACTTAAATTAAAATAGATTTTTTTCACTCATTTTAAAATATAACCTCTCATTCTTCAAAGATAAATAATAACTATTTTTTAGTCTATTTTTAATGTAAATGAATTTTTAGAGTTTATATTTTCAGTAGACGGTTATGTCAGGTAATATGAAACATATCGTCCATGTTAATTATCAAATATTTATAATTTAAGTAAATGCAACTAATTAATGAGATAAAATAAACAAATATAAAATGGATGACAAGAGGTAATTAAATAAGATAACTAATTAAAAAGTATGAATTCAGATTTTTAACAAACTTTTAAAATTAATTTCATCACAAATTAGAATCAATAAATTTAAGCAAAATAGTTTTTATGTTAATTTTTAATTTACCTTGGAGGAAATATATTCTAGGATACACTATTGTTGTTTTCTTTCAAAATATAATAATGTATTTAATTAGAGTAACTTTTAATTTCAAATTAAATAATTCTAACAAATTAAACAGATTAAATTTTATTACAATTTGATGAATTTTAAAAAGGCTAACTTATTTTCATGGTGTAGAATTTTAAATTCATTTGGGATTTTCGTAAAATTATTTTTTTCAGTCTAACATATCAAATTATACAAATAAGGTCCCATCAAAGTCATAGGCATTAGAAATAACAGTGATTGACTTTAAAAAGTTTAGATTAACATAATGTTGGAGCCAAGACATTCGACAATTCAAACTTTAATATATGAAAAATATTAACATATGAATAGACAAGTTTGCTGAGTTTTTCAACCTTAACTTAAAATATAAGTTCATGGCATCATATGATAAAAGAAAGACCAAATTAGGCAAACTGATCTAAGAACTGATGACATAAATGAGACATCGATTGCTCTCACCTATCAACAATCTGTAAAGTGAAGATCGTCAAGCAAATTTAAATGTAAACCAAAAGATAGAGATCTCAGTTGATGAGAAAAAACAATTATTACTTGAAGAAAAAAGTATTTTTCTTGTCATTCTAACACGCTAAATAAAATTTTGGCAAAGAAACAAAAAAGAAAAAGTGTTTAAAACAATTTTTTTTTTATGTGGAAGTACTGTTAAGGTCAAAAGGATTTTCAGGAATAGAATACCTTGTATCCAATAGATGTACTTGATGCCTTTGACATTTACTGGAGTTTGTAACTGTAATGAAAAATGGTAGTCGTAAGATCAGCAGCGACATAAATGGAATATATATATATATATATATACCAGATCACATCAGATGAAAACTCTAATGTGTGTAATTTCTTGAATTGTAAACTTTTTTTTAATAACGCGAAGATTCAACGTGTATTCACACCGAAACTAATGCTCTTGCATTAGCTCGTAAAATCATTACCAACATATGTGAAAGAGAGAAAATAAACTCTATTGATCACTTTTGTTTTCCAATTGCTTAACATATAGCACTTTGCTTAAAGTATCAAGAAATATAATTTTTGACGATTTACTAACCTGCAACAGTTTAACAATCCAATCGCTTATCAAACAACATTATTATATTACGTTGTTGTCATATTAATAATTATTAATATTTTTTGTGCTAACAAAGAATATAATAATATTTTATTTAAAAGAAATATTTTTTATTTGATAAAATAAATTTTTAAAATTTTAATTATCAAATAAAAAAATTCTCTTTGCAAAGATTAGAACACTCTTCTTATGTGTGATTCTATAAGTTCAATACTAAATCGGTAATAAGTTAATAATCATTAATTTATTAATCAAGTTTAGCGTCTAACAATATTCTTTAATTGTTTGGTACTTTCAAAAACCATTAGAAAATAATATAACAATTCTTTCTATCCTTACAACTTTGAATTAACTCTAGAATATGGTATAATTTGTCAAAACTCTAACAAGTTAATTTATCATGAATGACTTTAGAAATCATTTCCTGTTTCATTCAATTACTTTGTCTTAATTTTAATACAGCTCAAACTCATTGTATACAGTTGATGAATTTCTCTTGCATTATCATTAATCTTACAAGTATTTAATTATATCCAATAACTATTCAATCATAGGTACTTGTGCTCTAAAGTAATAGATATTCAGGATTAAAATATAACAAATGACTTGTTGATTGCCATAATAATATTAGGTTAAAGAAAAATTTATATTGTTTTTGAAAATTTTCTATTGACAATATAAGTAAATTAACCATAAAATTTCTCAATTTGAGTCAATTTAATGATCACACCCATACATATGTTATCTATATAAGTAAATTAATAAATGAAATCTATTACACTAGTACATATATATTGATCTATCCATATTATTAATATCCTATCCATAATAATCATATGATTAAGAGCAATTTAGATTAAATTATAAGAGGCATAATTTTCATTTTCATAATCTCTATTATGATAACAAGTCTTTAATTTTAATCAAGAACTTTTTTTAAATAAACTATTATATCAAAACAGTGTACATAAGATAAAGAAAGAAAATAATACTTTATTATTATGATTGGAATGGAGTACATGATAAATTGAGTAATAAATTTGTAATTAGACCTTCTTTTACGGTTCATATATTTATTTTTTGCCTTTATTTTAATTGATTTTTACATTAATTTATATATTAATTATGTAGTTTAGTATAGAGACCACAAATGAATTTTAGGTGCATTTTGAGCCCAAACTGATGGAAAATCAGGGCTTCACAACAGTCAGCAAGCACGGAAGTGCTTCGAGCCTAATTAATAAAGAACTTTTAAGGTTTTCAAATTCTATAAAAGAGAGACCTCAGACACCAAGTTTTACATCTGGTATTTTACGATTATTTTAGTTCTTCTCTTTAACATGAGTAACTAAGTCCATAATTAGGGCTATGAGAACTATTGTTCATAAATTTATGAAATTTTAAAGTTTGAATATATATTTAGTTTTCGTTCGTGATTAGCTTTTATCCTATTGTGCATAATTATAATCTTAATTAATTATATCGTTAAGCGACCATACCTCGATTAGTTAATAGATCTATAGGATAAAACGAGACAAATGATTAGGTGAACCAAACTAATTTCTTTTCTTCTAATTGTTATTAAATTAACATGTTCATAGGTGTTTTATGCTTTCTTTAATTGATGTATTGCATGATCATTGAGAATATTAATTTAAAAAAAAGAATATTAGTATTGCATGATCATTGTGTATCAATAGTATTTGTATGAATGATTGGTGATCACAGAAAAATCAAATTTAGAGTTAAATGGAAAAATAACATAAAAGATTGAATGAGAAAACTCATATGTCCTAAGTTCCTCTCCTATAAATTCAACCAAGACGTGTATTATGTTATTTGCTTTCATTCATAATTAACTTTATAATTAAATTATGGTTTTTACTTAATTTTACATCTTTTAGACTCAAATAATTGAATTAAGAAATTCTTAGTAATTGAAAATTAATTTTTGTGGGACGATATTTCAGAAACTTATTTTAGAACCTTTTATTACTTATCGACAGGTACACTTGCCCTCTAAACATTGAGTTTTTAGCATAAACATTTATTTCTAATAGTAACTCTATAAATAAAAATACACACACATGAATCAAGATGCTATCCAATACATTATTGCAAAGTCATATTTTTATGAAAATTTCATTCCTCTAAAATAAAATAGTTCTGAAAATTTCACCTCATGAGATTTAAAATAAACTAAATTATTGAAATGCTTTGAATTGTATTCAATTTTTTTTTATTAAATTTTAACCATTATTATTTTAAAAAGCTAAAGAGACATTTTTCTCATACATACAAGTATTAAGAATTGTTGATGGATCAATGTAAAGGAATCATTATATCAAAATTCTTCCTAATAATGTGGAGGCTAGGCGGTGTGTCCCAGTAATAGAGCTAATAGTTGTAGTGCAGAATTGAAGGAAGGTTAACAATGTGAAATACTACACCCTTTCACATCTTTTGAAGCAGTCATTTATAGAACGAAATAATATAACCACTTAGCATAAATAAATTTAGAGAGAGATTAGTAAGTAACTCTGAAAATGACTTTAGATAGTAGTTAGTATATAATCATTTTCTAAAGTCGCACTATAAAGAGTGGTTACATACTAACCACTCTCACAAATTAAAATCTTAAAAAAATAGTAACATTTGGCTTATAAAAC